TGAAATTGAGGAAATAAATCATGAGATGGTAGAAAGTTAATTTGCAATTACAGTAGAACATACTCCATGAGAGATCACTCATGTTAGCGGACAGCTCTCTATAAAGGACAGTTTCCATCACCAATACAGTAGAACATACTCCATGAGAGGACACTCATGTTAGCGGACAGCTCTCTACAAAGGACAGTTTCCATCACCAATACAGTAGAACCTCCATGAGAGAACACTCATGCTAGTGGACACCTCTCTACAAAGGACAGTTTCCATCACCAATACAGTAGAACATACTCCATGAGAGAACACTCGTGCTAGTGGACACCTCTCTACAAAGGACAGTTTCCATCACCAATACAGTAGAACCTACTCCATGAGAGAACACTCGTGCTAGAGGACACCTCTCTATAAAGGACAGTTTCCATCACCAATACAGTAGAACATACTCCATGAGAGGGCACTCGTGCTAGAAGACAACTCTCTATAAAGGACAGTTTCCATCACCAATACAGTAGAACCTCCATGAGAGAACACTCGTGCTAGAAGACAACTCTCTATAAAGGACAGTTTCCATCACCAATACAGTAGAACATACTCCATGAGAGGGCACTCGTGCTAGAAGACAACTCTCTATAAAGGACAGTTTCCATCACCAATACAGTAGAACATACTCCATGAGAGGGCACTCACGCTAGAGGACACCTCTCTATAAAGGACAGTTTTCATTACCAAATCAGTAGAACCTTCATGAGAGGTCACTCCTGCTAGAGGACACCTCTCTATAAAGGATAGTTTTCATTTGCAAAATTACCATTTTTACAATTTAGTAACTCTCCCTAAAGGACAGTTTGGCTCTGTTATTAGGTGTTGTCCTTTACAGGGAGGTTCTACTGTATCTGTGACCATATTTTAGTAATAGTTTTGTTTCCTCCTATTACTAGAGATTCTGTTGTTGTTGTTTCTTATCCCCTTGTTTAAAAATTCATGTAAATTCCCCATAAATTCATGCTCCTTGAGCTATACTAGAGATTGTTGTTGTTAGTGTCCATTAAGTTGAATTTGACTTTTGGTGACTATGGACAAATATTCTCCAATTTGATGTGTTAGTAACTTGCACAGTGACCTTTTACTAGAAAATACTCTTAAAGAGAAAATACTAAAACCCAATACAGTTAGAACCTCTTTGTTGTTTCTTATCCCCTTGTGTAAAGATTACACCAATTCCACGAGTTCATGCTCCTCCAGCTGTTTTATGATGAGCAGCTGCCTCTCCCAAGAACCTCTTTGTAAAAGACAACACCTAGTTGTAGAGCAAAATTTTCCCTTTTAGGAGAGGTGTCCTTTTACAGGAAAGTTGCTAATTAGTGTAAAAATTGTAATTTTTCTATTTAACAACTCTCTGTTAAGAGGACACATCTCTCTAAAGGACACTTTGGCTCTGTAATTAGGTGTTGTCCTTTACAGGGAGGTTCTACTGTAGCAACTTTACGGTAAGAGGACACCTCTCCCTAAAGGATACTTTGGCTCTGCAATTAGGTGTTGTCCTTTACAGGGAGGTTCTACTATATTTGTCAATTGGTATTCTTTAGTTTTTCACTATAAGAAGCAAGCTAATAAATGACAATGTTTAACTGATTCATTATGTACACAAGGTAATAAGACCAAATCCAAATAAATAAATAGTGTGTGACGTTTCAGTAACAGCGTTGTTACCATCTTCAGACAAAAGTACTGAATTAGAAATTTTACCACAGCATGTTTTAAATAGTTACTGTTATTAAGTTACGATGCACTAGCGCGCCATCTGTTATCAAATTATAAAACTATTTTAGAGGCGTAATATTATTTTTAAAATAAAACAATTTCTACTGTCCTTACTGCGATGGAAAAATTAAAGGGAGGGCCTGGCTCATCAGTGGTGAACCCTCCCAGCGGTTTCGCCAGTTTAATCTACCATACCGCTGTTATATTGCATTTTTAGAACTTCCTTTAATTTTCCATCGCAGTAAGGACAGTAGAAATTGTTTTATTTTAAAAAGAATATTACGCCTCTAAAATAGTTTTATAATGTTATTAAGTGTGTACACAAGATAGCAGATAAGAAGAAGATAGTTTTCTGATAAACACAGAATATTAGAATTAAAAGTTGAAAAGTTTTTTTTTTTTTAATATAATTAAAAGCATATCTATAAATATCATTTATATTTCCTCTTTCTTCCATTCTGTTAATTAATTCATAATCTATAATCCAAATTGTGCCTTATCAAAACCAAATCCAAATAAATAGTGTATGACGTTTCAGTAACAGCATTGTTACCCTATGAAGATGGTAACAACACTGTTACAGAAACATCACACACTATTTATTTATTCAGATTTGGATTTGGTCTTATTACCTTGTGTACATAATCCATAATTCAAATTGTGCTAATCAGATTCATGTTGTTGTTGTTTCTTATCCCCTTGTGTAAAGATTACACGAATTCCATGAGTTCATGCTCCTCTAGCTATTTTATGATAAGCAGCGGCCTCTCCCAAAGGTCCTGTTTAGTGCATCTAATACAAGCCAAAATGTGTTCTGGAGCTGCAGGTGCCAAGCTACATTTTGGGCAAGTGGGGTAGATTTTGTAATCAGATTCATTATGCAAGACTATATTATCTTATATACATAGTGGGTCTCCTTATGTAAATTACGAATGAAGATTCAACTTAATTCTTCTCAAGGCAACTAGGAGACTGACTCTTTATTATTATTGATTATTTAGGCATTTTCTTAAAAATCTAGTCATTAGAACATAATTACATTTTTTAAAAGCAAATCTAATACAGTAGAACTTGGACAATTCAATAACGTCTTTAATTTGAATATTTATCTTGGTCCCTAGACTTTTAATCCTTGTATTCAAAACATTTTTAATTCAAATTTTTGGATATATCTTTTTTTGGTCCCTTGGGCTCCAAATTATCCAAGTTCAACTGTATTTAGAAAGCTTTATTATCAATTCAATATATATGTGAAAATTAAGGGAAAAAGAATAGAAAAAAGGTCAGATGTGATATTAAAAAAAAGGTAAATCCTGACCCAACATTTAGTTGATTTTTGTTTCACTAGATGGCGCTCTGCTATCTACAATTCTCTCATGTGAATGGTCAGGATATGCTTTTTTATTTTCAATATATACACTAAAGCAAAAGGCAGCTTCAATCTGTGTTAAAGAAAAAATACCAAACATTCAACCACTAAAGACAACATTTACCTTTTTTTATTTAATCTGCCAAATTGATAAGGCACAATTTGGATTATAGATTATAAACATAAGGTAATAAGACCAAATCCAAATAAATAAATAGTGTGTGACGTTTCTGGTAACAGCGTTGTTACCATCTTCAGACCAAAGTACTGAAGATTTTGTATGATATTGCTGTGGTAAAATTTCTCATTCAGTACTTTTGTCTGAAGATGGTAACAACGCTGTTACCGAAACGTCACACACTATTTATTTATTTGGATTTGGCCTTATTACCTTATGTTTATTTAATCTGCCAAATCTATATTTTTCTCAAGATTTTTAATAGGAAAGTTTTATGGGTGAATTTTTACAGATTTAACTTGAAACTACCTGTGTAGTCCCCATTGTGTTTGGCACCTATATACAGTAAAACCTCGCCAAAATGAACCTGGGTTATAGTGAACTTTACCTTATAACAAACCTGAAATAATCCCCATTTTATAATACAGTAAACTATCTAAAACGACACTTGAAGTTACACCGCATCAGTTTCTTTTCGACGAAAAATCAAAATTTTATTTCAAGGTGAAATATCGACTATTTCTCTCCTTTTTGGATGAGGTATGAAAGGATGAATTATGAAGAGTAATCTAAAAGGATAGAAATAGTCGATATTTCACCTTGAAATAAAATTTTGATTTTTCGTCGAAAAGAAACTCATGCGGTGTAACTTCAAGTGTCGTTTTATAATCACAGGCTGCAGTGTATTATATTATACAGTAAACTATGGCTATAACAAACCATGGCTATAGTGAACCACAAGTTCAGTCCCATTGGGGTTTGTTATAGAGGGTTTTTTTTAGAGGGGTTATGTTAATTGATATTTCTTCCTACTTATTTTATCTATGAACAAATCAGTATATATGGAATCATTACAGATACAAAATGATAACATTTTACCTAAAAACAAGTACTGTTGTGGTGTTGGTGGTTAAACCAATTCCTGAAGTCCACTCCAATTTTGTGATGGTAGTTATAGGCCTGGAAAATAGGTCCTCTATTGTCAGTTCTGAGCATAATATGCTCCGGAGAAGCTTCTGCACTATTACATTTCAAGCAGTTATTGAAAAAAGGTTTTTTTTTTGTCCATTTTTAAATTTTAAGGTTTTTATATGGCCACTTCTTAGACTTGCTAAAGCTGTTGATTTCTATTGAGTTTTTGAAGTTCTTCTAATTGTTGTTTCTTATCCGCTTGTAAAGATTACCTGAATTCAATGAGTCCATGCTTCTTGAGCTGTTTTATGATAAGCAGCAGCCCCCATGCTAAAGTTAGCAATTTCCACTACCTGTGTGTTTGGTACCTATATATGCAAATTGTTCTTTTTCTTCCTACTTGTTCTATCTCAGCCTTCTCTTATGTTCTCTCTCTCTTTCTCCTTTTCATCTTGAGGGGAAACAAGATTATACCATGGCTGCTATATACTAACACCATTGATTGAGGGGAAACAAGATGTGTAATGTTCCACGGCTGCTATATACTAACACCGCTGGTTGTATATAATATCTTTTAAAAACTAAAAAAATATAATATAAATAAATATAAAAAACTAATATAATGCGGCTTGTGATTGTAAAACGACATTTAAAAATTATCCCACATAAGTTTCTTTTCAAGGAAAAATCGAAATTTATTTTAAGGAGAAACAACGATTATTTCTAACCTTAGGGATGAAGTATGAAAGGATGAATTGTGAAGAGTAATGATAAACAGAAAAATAAAAGGTAGCCTAGTGGACATGGCATCTGCCTGTTAAGCGGGACACTGTGGGTTCGATTCCCATCCCTGGACACCTTTATTTTTCCATTTATCATTATTCTTCACAATTCATCCTTTCATATTTCATCCCTAAGGTTAGAAATAATCGTTGTTTCTCCTTAAAATAAATTTTTTATTTTTCGTTGAAAAGGATAGTTTTCAAATGTCATTTTACAAGTTTCTTTTTATTTTAGAATGCAAGCTTTAAAGAGCTTAAGAGAATTTTAGTAGTTTTTAAAAGGCCTTTCACAATTTTATCTTGTATATAATATCTTTGTCTGATGGCACAATTATATCACATTAGAATCTCTCTGTAAAGGACAACACTTAGTTACAGAACCAGTGTCCTTTATAGAGAGATGTCTTCTTACCAGAGAGTTGCTATTTATTTTTATATGATAAACTATTTTGAAAAATCTTTATAAGTATATTATATTTAATTATTATTATATAGCATATATTATATATCTTTTTTAACACTTAGTAAATGGTTATTGTGAACTAGAGTTAAATAACAATAAACATTGAAAACTAATTTTATTTAAAAAAAATTATATATATACAGTAGAACCTCCATGCGAGGATGCTCACGCTAAAGAACACCTCTCTACAAAGGACAGTTTTCATTTGCAAAATTATAATTTTTACTATTAGCAACTATCCGGTAAGAGGACACCTCACCCTAAAGGACACTTTGGCTTTACAATTAGGTGTTGTCCTTTACAGGGAGGTTCTACTGTATATAGCATATTATATCCTTTTTTTTTAAACACTTAGTAAATGGTTATAGTTAACTAGTTATAAATAACATTAAACATTGAAAATAAATTTTATAAAAAAAAAATTATATTAATATATTCTTTATTCAATTTCAAATTTATGAATTGTCTGCTAACGGGAATGTCTAGTACAGTAGAATCTCCCTGTAAAGGCGACACCTAATTGTAGAGCCAAAGTGTCCTTTATAGAGAGGTGTCCTCTTACCAGAGAGTTGCTAAATAGTAAAAATGGTAATTTTGCAAATGAAAACTGTCCTTTGTAAAGAGGTATCCTCTTACCGGAGAGTTACTAAATAGTAAAAATGGTAATTTTGCAAATGAAAACTGTCCTTTATAGAGAGGTGTCCTCTTACCAGAATGTTGCTAAATAGTAAAAATGGTTATTTTGCAAATGAAAATCGTCCTATGTAGAGAGGTGTCCTCTTACCAGAATGTTGCTAAATAGTAAAAATGGTAATTTTGCAAATGAAAACTGTCCTTTGTAAAGAGGTATCCTCTTACCGGAGAGTTGCTAAATAGTAAAAATGGTAATTTTGCAAATGAAAACTGTCCTTTATAGAGAGGTGTCCTCTTACCAGAATGTTGCTAAATAGTAAAAATGGTTATTTTGCAAATGAAAACTGTCCTTTGTAGAGAGGTGTCCTCTTACCGGAGAGTTACTAAATAGTAAAAATGGTAATTTTGCAAATGAAAATTGTCCTTTGTAGAGAGATGTCCTCTAACCGGAGAGTTGCTAAATAGTAAAAATGGTAATTTTGCAAATGAAAACTGTCCTTTATAGAGAGGTGTCCTCTTACCAGAGAGTTGTTAAATAGTAAAAATGGTAATTTTGCAAATGAAAACTGTCCTTTATAGAGAGGTGTCCTCTTACCAGAGAGTTGCTAAATAGTAAAAATGGTAATTTTGCAAATGAAAACTGTCCTTTGTAGAGAGATGTCCTCTTACCGGAGAGTTACCAAATAGTAAAAATGATAATTTTGCAAATGAAAACTGTCCTTTGTAGAGAGATGTCCTCTTACCGGAGAGTTACCAAATAGTAAAAATGATAATTTTGCAAATGAAAACTGTCCTTTGTAGAGAGATGTCCTCTTACCGGAGAGTTACCAAATAGTAAAAATGATAATTTTGCAAATGAAAACTGTCCTTTATAGAGAGATGTCCTCTTACCGGAGAGTTACCAAATAGTAAAAATGATAATTTTGCAAATGAAAACTGTCCTTTATAGAGAGGTGTCCTCTTACCGGAGAGTTACCAAATAGTAAAAATGATAATTTTGCAAATGAAAACTGTCCTTTGTAGAGAGATGTCCTCTTACCGGAGAGTTACCAAATAGTAAAAATGATAATTTTGCAAATGAAAACTGTCCTTTATAGAGAGATGTCCTCTTACCGGAGAGTTACCAAATAGTAAAAATGATAATTTTGCAAATGAAAACTGTCCTTTGTAGAGAGATGTCCTCTTACCGGAGAGTTACCAAATAGTAAAAATGATAATTTTGCAAATGAAAACTGTCCTTTATAGAGAGATGTCCTCTTACCGGAGAGTTACCAAATAGTAAAAATGATAATTTTGCAAATGAAAACTGTCCTTTGTAGAGAGATGTCCTCTTACCGGAGAGTTACCAAATAGTAAAAATGATAATTTTGCAAATGAAAACTGTCCTTTGTAGAGAGGTGTCCTCTTACCGGAGAGTTACCAAATAGTAAAAATGATAATTTTGCAAATGAAAACTGTCCTTTGTAGAGAGGTGTCCTCTTACCGGAGAGTTACCAAATAGTAAAAATGATAATTTTGCAAATGAAAACTGTCCTTTGTAGAGAGGTGTCCTCTTACCGGAGAGTTACCAAATAGTAAAAATGATAATTTTGCAAATGAAAACTGTCCTTTGTAGAGATGTGTCCACTAGTGGGGTGTCCACTAAAGGGAGTTTCTACTGTATATGTAAAATTAATAAATGATACATTGGGAAAGTGTCCATTGTTTAGAGATGTTTACTAGTGAAAATGTTCGCTAGCATGGACGTAGTTTCATTGGGAGGGAAATTTTGCCGATAAAAACTCTACTGTTGTTGTTACTTATTCCTCAAGTCCTTTAAACAATCTCTATTAGGTTCCATTGTCTCAGCTTTTCTTTTATAGTCCTGGGGTTTTCCCAGAGGTCTTTTTCTTTGTGAATCTGTTGTTGCTTATTCCTCAAGTCGTTTAAACAATCTCCATTAGGTTCCATTGTCTCAGCTTTTGTATTATAGTCCTGGGGTTTTCCCAGAGGTCTTTTTTGGAGGATTTGATACAATTCAATAGATGTTCAGGATTGGCTGGTTGGTAATCGTATTTGGGGCATTTTGGGGATGTTTTGATTTTTCCATCTGCTGTTTATCAGTCTTTAAGCAACATTACACAACACACACAGGATTCTATACTCAATCAAAATTGTTATTGTTTTTTATAAATTCACCTTTAAAGAAAAAACTGACATTCAAAAAAGTTTTATATTTATTTATGCAAATTCAATTTGAATGATTTCTGTCAGTCCAACTATTAATACAAGGCATCTCCTTATCATGCAACTGAAAGTTGCTGATGGCTTCAGTTACATGATAAGGAGATGCCTTTTTCATAATTTATGCACCTTATTCCAGTACAATATCACATTTGTACTATTTTTTCATATACACCTATCCCCCGATTTACACGGTAGATACGTTCCTGAGAAAAACGTGTAAATCAGGGGATAGGTGTACACAGAAATAAAAATAAAATGCATTGACAGTTTAAAATATGTAGTCAGCACATAAGCTCGGGATTCCTCGCGAGATGTGTACACAGCGCATGTGTTCAATCACAGTAGCATTTAGTATAGTGCGATAAAAGCAAAAAAAAAAAAACTTATTTGGAAAACCATGTAAAAGCGAAAATGTGTAAAACAAGTACTGTGTAAATCGGGGAATAGGTGTACATATATATATAATACAAGGTTGTTCCAAGAGTTTGTAAACACTTGCAAAAAAAATTGAAATACCAATATTATTCACCGTTATGTATAATGTCTTTATATTATGTATAAAGTAATTGTATTATTATGTATTAAACACAAGGTAATAAGACTAAATCCATATAAATAAATAGTGTGTGACACTTCATTAACAGCATTGTTATTGATCTTATTACCTTGTTTTTATAACCTATAATCCAAATTGTACCTTATCATTGGAGATTTGGTCTTATTACCTTGTTTTTATAATCTATAATCCAAATTGTACCTTATCATTGGAGATTTGGTCTTATTACCTTGTGTTTATAATCTATAATCCAAATTGTACCTTATCATTGGAGATTTGGTCTTATTACCTTGTGTTTATAATCTATAATCCAAATTGTACCTTATCATTGGAGATTTGGTCTTATTACCTTGTGTTTATAATCTATAATCCAAATTGTACCTTATCATTGGAGATTTGGTCTTATTACCTTGTGTTTATAATCTATAATCCAAATTGTGCCTTATCTGTATTATGTATTATTATGTATTCGCCGTAATAATATTATTCACCAAGTAATAAGAAAAACATGAACTTTTGAAACAGCCTTATATGTTACCTTGGTTCTCTTACTGTACTTAAACTTATCTTGTATTATATCATAATCTTTTACTATTTTATATCTCTTCATTTTATATATGGCAAGCACATTCATTAATATAAAGCATAATAAAAGAAAATAAGACCTAATCCAAGTAGAGAACTTCAGATTCTGAATTCTTTAAAATAGAATCTTCAAGTGATGGCATCAACATTGATGTTCACTTTGGAATTCTTCAGCTCATAGGAAGAATAACTTCTTAGGTCCATTGAAGTCTATCAAAATGATTTTATTATAATCTATAATCCAAATTGTGCTTTATCATAATACAAAGCAATAATGCGCCATCTATATACAACGAATAAAGACATTAAGACATGAATGTTTATTTTCACAAATAAATCAAACTTCTATTGTCCTTACTGCAATGGAAAAATATTAGTAGGGCTTGGCTTATTTCTTGATTTATTTGTAAAAAGAAACATTCATGTCTTAAGCACATTTATGTTGTTGTTTCTTATCCCCCTTGTGCAAAGATTACATGAATTCCATGAATCAATGATCCTCGAGCTGTTTGAAGATAAGCAGCGGCCATCTCCCAAAGGTCCTGTTTAATACATCATTTGTAGCTGTAGATGATAAAAAAGCATATATTGGATTGAATAAAAAGATCTATTTGACAAT